TCTGCTGTCAGGCCGTAGGTCGGGTGAGGTGCCGCGAGCATTCGCCATGGCTCCGGGTACCAACTGACGCACCCCTACCACAACCTAACGGTCATTGCACGACCTTTTCCCTCGCGGGTTGATCCGCTTGAGCCACCATCGGTGGCGGGTCAACGAGAAATGCAAAAGGAACCTCTTGATCAATCGATCGAATGGTGACCTACGCTCAAGTTCGACACCTCCTGTAAATGAAATGAAAAAGAACTTAAGGGCCTTGCCTGCTTTGTACATTTCTTTGTTCTTCCTTTGTTTTATGTGTCAACTAATCTCAAGTCCAGAATCTCGCATGAAACAGCAATTCCCTTGAGAATTTCGTTGATGCGTTGTCTAACAAAAACACAAGACAACCAACGAGAAGCCAATCTTTGCACATGCTACAAAAATGAGTAACGCTGTACAGTATTGCATGTCACATCCAGTTTCTGCAAAGTGATATCATGTGATATCAAACACATTCATCTGTCTCCAGAAGCCACTGCAAAGGAGGATCTCAATCCAGTTATATACTGGGCGCCAAACAGACCGTGGTTGATCTCATCCACCAGCCCTGATGTGTCAGCCGCATTGAGAAACTCTTTGCAGCAGGCCCATTTTGGCCTGTTGCTACCTTGCTTGAAATTCCCTGAAATTCCTACAATTGCTACTAGCTACGTTCAAGTTTGTGGTCTCATTTCAACACCATGCGACTTGCAGGAAAATTGTTTCCTGTGTACTAGCTAGCAAACCCGAGGCCTTCTAGAGACTGATAGGGAACTTAGACAGCACCACACGGCCACCAATCTAATAACTCCCAATCTACATAACTCCGTTGGGTGATCCTCTGTTTTCTCCTACACTTGAGTAAACTCTCATTCGCTGGGCGATGTCAATGCCTGCGTAATCTACATGCCCCACCCATCCCCACTCCCCTTGTCTCCTTGGCTGAAGCCAGAGGCATCCAGGCTTTCCAAATTCAAGCAGAACCGCGCACTGATTACCAAGCGCAAAGCACTAACCTCAGGTCCATATTAATACTCCGCTGTCCATAATGAAAAATGATACATCATGTAGTATTTGTTTTAAGACAATAACCAACAGGTTTTTGCGCTGCCTTGCATGAAAAACTACTTTCATTTGAAGTGCATGCAATAAGAAATGGCTCAAGATTTGAGGTTTGCATCCCGAATTGCTGAACCATGCACTGGGTAGACAACATGGACGAACCTGTTTTCTTGACATCAACAGGCCATTGCAGAGGACTCTATCAATTTCTTTTTCAATTGACTGCTTGCCACATTCTACAAACACACCAAAACCACGACTCTACAAACGCAGTGACTGCAAGAGAAGGTGCTTAGTATGTAGTCGAACAAAAAAACGTGTAAATAGCAACCAGGGGGATGGATGCCCTTGACGGGTAGCTGCATGAACGCAAATCGCTTTCCTGCAAGTGTCCAGCATTGCAGACTTTGGTTTCCAAATGGGACACGAAGTGTCAAGACTACACCAGGCACAGGAACACAATAAGAACAGTAAGCAATAACTCAGCAAAATCAACTAGCAGCAAGTATAGGACAGAGTTCACAAGGATTCTCTGGATCGAGCAAACTAAGAGACGCAGCAGACCCAAAATCGAACCCGATAGCCCCTGATAGCCGTCGATTGAAATATATAGAAACATGAAAGACGACACCTCATGGTGAAGCGAGCACGTCTTCTTTTCCGTGGAGATCAGACGACGGTTCGTGACCTGTACTCCTGCGGTATAAGGCAGGAGGTTCCAAGGCCTAAGCACCCTCCTAGGTTGAACAGCAGTGTCATACTAGCACTGCAAGCCCATCAGCGGCAGCCATGGTGGTGTCCTTGAGGTGTTGGATTCGTTGGACCTCATCCAGGTACACCCGTGGAATCGCGAGCTGGCGTAGGTCTAGGGAAGTCCATGAGCAGGAGGACGAACAGCGCGTGCACAAGAACAAGCCCGAGGCCTGCCGGGTCTGCGAGGCCTGGAGGTAGGTGTCCGGCACACTCACAGTCGCCCGTGGCCACGCAGGGCCATCTGGACAGGTGGAGGACTCCAGCCAAGACGGTGGCCCCTATATGGCATGTACACTTTGGTCGTGTGCACGCGCAGCTCCCTGAGCTGCAGCATGCCAAAACGCCTCAACTGTAGCGCTCTCGTCGGGCGTCGGGGAACCCCTCGTAGAGGCACCTCACGCAGCAACGTAGCAGCCGCCGGCCAAAGCCCCTGCGCATCGGCACAGGTTTGCACTCCTGCGGCCCCCAGACCCGGGCAGAAAAGGGAAAAGGTTCCCAAACTTGAGCCGAGATTGACATCAAAGTTTGGGAATCAACACTTTTATGTTTCAAACCTCAACATGTCCCTACCCAACCATCCATTCATGTTGAACGATAACAATCACCAAAGAGCACACTATCTTGAAGAGACTCTCAAAGGATTGAAAACAAGCCACAAAACGGTGATACAATCGGTTGCAGTCACGCAGCATCAAGGCCGGATAATGTTGACTTCCGAATACTAAATGGCCCGTGAATAATACTAAAATCTTTTCAAAATCCAATAATAAATGGACCTCAAACAATACTAAATGTTTTCTGGACCTTGATTTTCAGCTGCTTCCAGACCTTGATTCATCCAAGCTGATTCTGAGCTGTCAGCTGATTCCAAAACCTGATTATTTTGTGGTTTCCTTCACTCTGGAACTTTGATTTGGCTGCTGCATTTTCCTTTTAAAATTGCTTCTTTGGGCATTGCCATTTGTAACCTGAAATCAACCCACAAAGACCACCCCCCACGAGCAGCCCAAACCTTCAATTACTCCAGGCCTCAAATAATACTAAACAATCCCTGGCTGGTTATTTTCATGATTTCCTTTCCTTTCCTTTCATTGTCCTTTCAATTTCCTTTCCTTTCCTTCCATGTTCCTTTCATTTCTTCCCTCTCCTTTCATTGCCCTTTCAATTTCCTTTCCTTTCCTTTCATTGTCCTATCAATTTCCTTTCCTTTCCTTCCATTTTCCTTTCATTTCTTTTCCTTTCCTTCAATCTCTTTCCTTTCCTTTCATTTCCAATTCAAATCAAAATGTTCTAGGAGTTTCTGGATTTCATATTATTTGGAGGCCACACTTGATCAAGGGGGGAGGGGGGGAGTTTATTATTAGGAGGTGGACATTAAAATCATAATCTAGAAAACCCGGGCGCAGCCAACCGTGCTTTCAATTGTATACATTTTCCAGATGCCATCCAAATCAAATCCGCCCGCGCCGAAGGTGCCGAGGGCGTTGTGTAGGCTCTGGGCAATTGCAATGTTGTGTAGGCTAGATTCAATCTTAAGCTTTAGCTTGGGGGGAGGCTTTTTCTTCTAGACATGCTGTGCTTTGCAATGTTTCTTGAATATGATACCAAACGTTGGCGATGCCGGTTACGCTGGCCGGGGGAGATCGCACTAGCGACATCGCGGACGTCTACCGGCGACTTTGGTTCTGAGTTATCAAAAGCTCAGCCCTGCATCATTGATTGGGGTCAAGTTCTCGCAGGCGTACTTGGTATGAGAGCCGGTCACTGGGGCACTCAGCACCGCCATCCTGTTGCACTTGGCGGACAACTGCATTATTGACATCGTGCCTCGGCGCGCGCACGTCTTACAGCGAACGCATCTCATAATTGGGAACCTTTATACAGAAACAGCCTTCCAAGACCCCTACAAGTTCCCCCGCGCACAGGCACGTCAAGGACTTACACCAGATATGCGTCGGCGACGCTGGGCGCTCAGGAACGTCAAGGACTCACACCGGATATGCGTCGGCGACGCTGGACGCTCGATTATGCTCGATTTCTTCCGCTCATCGATCTTCTCCATCACGCGCAAAAGTTCGATACAGAATGATGTGCACGTTTCTTCCCGCCTCCACGAGCACAGGTTCTTAATGTCTGCATGTATGTCTGTCTTGTAGATGACATCTCTGTATTTTCCCGTTGATCTGCGCGGGCGGCTTCGACAGCGAAGCGGTGTGAATATACAGGTACCAGTACGGCATTTTGGAATTGGGAAAATTGACAGATCTTCCAAGCCAAGACTCTGGAAAAACATGAATGGAACAAACATGGCTGAAGGGGGCAGCATTCAAGAGGTAGTTACACTCAAAAACCAAGATGCATCTCTCTTTGCAGCAACTGACACTGGGGCACCATCTGTATCCAAAAGATTTGTGAGGCGTACGGATGCTGGACACTGTACGGGAAGGTGGAATGAACAATCTTTATAAGATTGAGAAAACAGTTGCAGGAACAACAGAAAAAAACACATGAGCATGTTCTGAGCATGTCAAAGTGTCAATTGTATGGGAGGGCAGTTGGCTTGTTTACAATTTGAATCAACATGTTCCAATCTTTACTTGGCCAAGTTGCGCCTGCATCAGTTCGGCTGGAGCGGCTCCAATTTACCTGGATCGGAATGACCATCTCAATAGCACACAAAACACTCACAGAAGATTGTTTGCCAAAAGCAAGAAAGTGTCAAAAACAGCAACAAGCGAGAAACTCCAATACAGTTGCATTTGCTCCATAACATTGTTCAATGTCATCGACATGTCCTTGTCATTGCAAACAAACAATTTGGCTCACAACTACATTGTGAAACAACTTGCTACACTGCACCTTGCCAGTTGTGACTTGTCATGACACGTTCGCGAGGTTCCCGCTGCTCAACTCGTTTGATCATGACTTGTTTGTTTCACCCCTGAGCTGTTGTGCAAAATGCTACTGTCACAAGAGGTTTCGCGCTATTTTGTTCAAGGTTTTGCAAAAGGAGTACTGTTTCTTTGGTTGTAGCTGTTGTGCAAACAAACGTGAAGTGCAATTTGCATTTCGTGGCTGCAGCATCATGCTGATTTGTAATTGCAAATCAACATGCTGCTGCAGAAAGCAAAACAGTTTGTGACTTTTGAACTGCACGGTCACTATAACTAAAGCTGAGCACAGCATGGAAATGCACGGAAAACAAATAATACTGTATATATATAGAAACAGGCAAGCCCTGCCTTCTGCTCCAACCGCTGGGAATTCAACTCACTCACTATCTTCGCCTTGACCAATGCCGTCCGTATCATCTCCTACGTATAGGATGCAGTGTCGGTAAACTGCCCCAGGAAACATTATTGTTGGCCACAAAGTGACTCCTCCACAGATTTCTTTGCTGTGGTGTCTTCAACTTCTGGATTGATCATAAGGCCACGGTACCTTGACCAGCATGAAATTCAAAGAGCTTGCAGGGATAACGGGCAGCGCCACATGTCTCAGCACATGGAGCTATTCCAATCTATTTGTTTCCAGCGAAAATTCATGTGAGTTCACTGGAACACATGCTGCAGAAAATCGATTGCCTCGTTCCAATGAAGCCAACGACAATGGCCATTTTCCTCTTGACACGCTTCTTCTCATCACCTGCGCTGAGGCAAGGGGATGCTAAATAGCCGCAGCAAAGGCGTGTCTTCTCTGTTGCAAGAGCTACGAGTAAGCAACAAATATTGAAAGGAAATTAGCCGCGAGAATCTTTCACTGCCTGGGTTGTTTTATTAGCTTGTCATGTCCTGCAGAGTCAATCCTACGCAGCCCACTTGTGCAGGTGACCTAAGAGTTAACATTTCCAGCAACTGACAAATTCTATCCAAGTCAGGAATCTGCAGGCGCACACACGTTCGACTACATTCCCTTACCACGAGATACCGCAGAATAAATTGTGTCTTGCTATTTTTGCGTTGCCTTTTTGGAGACACAGTGCCAATGGATGAACATATATAACCAACTGAGTTTATCCTGGCCGTTTTCTTCTGCTCTGTCTGCTTCAGGAGCATCATCTCCATCCTGAAAAAAGATCAAGGGTGCTCTACAAACACTGATGAAACACCATTAGGCAATGCTGTTTTCTTTATGAACAACCCGGTATTCAACACAATTACACTACTTTCTACAAATCCGGCGATGTCCTGATTTTCTTCAGCCGACATCAGCTGGCCATGTTTGGACACAGGAAACACACAAAACTGACTTTGCACCAAGTGCAATGATTTTCTTGTACTTTGTGTCTTGAACAACAATAACATATTTGCATATGGTATATTGATAGATTCACATATGTCAGGTCATGAACACAGCAGCTGGTATAGTCTGTGGGGCACCCACAAAAAAAAATGTTTCAGCGTATGCTTGCAATCCGCTGTGGGTATTCATTGTTTTTGTTTGTGCAGCGTGAGGTTTCTCGCTGTTTTCAATTCGGGCTGAAACATTCTCCAATTTTTTGGACAAAGTTGGAAGTGCATGTCTTGCGATCTTTGTTCGCTTTGCTCCAAAGCTGCCAGGATAACTCAAGTCTTGCGACAACCCTTTTTTGCAACTAGGACTAGGACGAGAAACGCTCGTCCGAAGTAACCATCATTACCAGTTTCAGCATTGTCTTGATGAGCAATGACATGACCGCAAGAACACATGATTTTTGGCCACAATGTCTGCAGCTGAAGCATCAAACTCTGCACGCACTGCGAAACAAGAACCCAGGTGAGGCCCTGCTACGCTGGAACGCACTGCTTGCACACAAAGGCTCTGTATGATGCAATTCGGCTACAAAATGAGAATACATTGTTTTTGGAGTTGTGGCATATGGCAAATCAGGGCACACGAAAGGTTTTCATCCATAAGGTTGCTGAGCAGCGGCTTCGCTGGACAGGCTATACTTGCGGAGACCCAAGGCGCCGCAAGATCACTGAAGTATGCAAGCTGGTTGCCTGTCGTACACGCAAAGTGTTTGAATCAGGACCAGAAAAAACAAATTATATAAAAGTATTGAAGCATTGACCGTATGATGGCCACGTCGTAGTATTGAGCGGACTGCCCTGCACGGCCGAACCCTGTTTTCTCTGAAAGTTTTCAGGGGCTGCGGTTTCGTGTTGAATGCGCCGAAAAGTGTGTCATGTTGACATCTGCGATCCACACATGTGAGGTGCCGTGCCCCCCTTGGGCCTGTTGGTTGGGCAGGGCTGATAGACCCACTCAGCCACTCTGGCTTGGTTCCAGGCTCAAGCCCTCTTACGCCGTTTGTGGTCGCATTCCTTGCACATGGTCCATTCAGTGTTTTGCTGCTGCGTGTCAGTGTCAGCTTGCTGGAATCATCCGGAATCTCTACAGCTGTGCACCGCCAACGCATATTTGGTTGTTCGTTCCTCACTGCGCAGGAGGTCTCAAAGTCCTTCACTGGCTGCCTGTCTGTGCCATCTGCGTTCGGGACTCTGCCGCTTCTGCTCCTGTTGGCGTAGGTGCTAATTGCAAATCGATTGTCCTCGCACTCCTCCTGGATTGCCTTCTGCTTTTCTCTCCTCTTCTCCTCTCTTCCTGCCACTCCAATCGAGCAACAGTTGCAAAAGGTGTCAACTCTGTCCCTGTAGTCTCCCTCAATTTTGCTCCAGCTTCCTCAACACTCAACTGCGCCTCCTGCGAAGCTGACTGCATGTCCTACGATCTGAAGTGTTTCCCTCCTTTGTGGGAGCATGCCTGCAATGTTCAGACCAGTGGCACCTCGTCTTGCTGACTTTGGAGACGAAATGTCTGCTTCAGCATTTGCTTGAAATTGCTCAGTGACAACACCCTCATCAGAGCTGGCATCGCCTGTGATGAACTCATCACGGATGCTGGGTTAGCTCTTCTCCAACGCGGGGCCTGCGTATTGCCTCCAGCCCAGTCCCGTGCGGCGTGGGCCGGTAGTCAATGCTGGGTTTACAGCTGTGGGGGCGCCACCGGCTTGCACAGGTCGGATGCCCCGCACTGATGACCTTTGTTTTCTCTGAAGCCTTTCAAGGTCTGTGGTTCATGTGAAAAGGATGTCATGTTGACATCTGTGATCCATACAGTTCTGTGTTTTATATCTGATATAATAATATGTATATATATATATATATATATCGAAACCTGAGAAGGGAAGGGGCGAAAACCAGCCTCTGGGTTAGGGTGTGTCCTCAGGGGAAGCCTGGGCAAAGTCTTGGCACGCAAGAGGAAGTGACTGGAGGCCATGGGTAGGGTTGGTGAAGAGACATATCATATATGTATATAGGTAGAGTGGACCAAGAGTAGCCGGAAGTGGTGAGGTTGGTATTGGAGGGACTTGAGTGTGTAAGATGAAGTGACAGGCTAACATTGCGTAAAGGGTACTCTAGGTATCCGGTAGGAGGTAGAAAGAGAAGGTAGTATTAAAAGGGGTGTGCCCTGTTTCGTCCTCAACGGCGAAAAGGGTTGTTGTTAAAAAGTTTGTTCATATGAGTTGTTTTGCTGCGTGTTGCTAGTCAGTGAGCAGTGAGCGATGGTTGTGGGGGCCTATGGGCGAGGCTATTGGCAGGCTTCGTGAGGATACATATATGCCTGTAACCTGTACGTCCTTCTTTTTGAAATGTTTCTGTTGCAAGCCGTCCCTAGCTTCAAAGCCTTCCGCCTCCAACGCTTGCCCGCTGCAATCTCTCTCCTGCCCTCAACAACCCCCCAATCCACGGGAACTCCCACCGCATAGGGAGTGCCCTCTTCAGTCCGGCAGCAACGCTGAGCTTGGTTCTCTTTCCATCACCTCCTGAGCCCCTCATGACCTCCAGGCCACGTGAACTCCCACCGCATAGGGGGTGCCCTCTTCACTCCGGTTCTCTCGCAGGCCCTCAACAGACGGCATCATGCACCCCATGTGGGGTGCCCTTTTGAGTCCAATAACTAGACCTTGCCACGAAGAAAAAAGGGCACCCCCAAGCAATTCAAAACATTTCAAAACCTTCCGGGACCTTCCGCCTCCAACGCTTGCCCGCTGCAATCTCTTCTCTCTCCTGCCCTCAACAACCCACACATGGCACATGCACCCCATATGGGGTGCCCTTTTCAGCATCTCTTTCCATAGCCTCCTGAGCCCCTCGTGATGCTAATGATGCACTACTGGCCGTCAATTACATCACAAGTGGCAACCTTTTTTCTTTTTTTCGCCACCAGGCTCTGGGTTCACCTCTCCGAAATTGGCCCACTCGCGACCACCCCCCTCCCAGATTCCCCTTAACTCACTTCGTTCGCTCCCCTGCCTCAAGCTTTGCCTATTGGCTGGCTTTCGTGATTACATGAAATTACACCCTTATTGATAACTATTTATACATGTTCAACTGTCATATTGTGTCAATACAACAGCTTGCTGCACCCAAGAGTATTGTAAGAGATTCTTGATGTGCCTCAGGTCTTGTAGCGCTTGAGCAATGAAGGCATCAGCATGGCTGCAGCACCTGGGGTAAGTTGGTTAGAACACACACACATATATATATATATATGTCTTCAAACACGGCCAACACATACTTTCATTCTGGGTGCTTGATCTGAAGGGTGTGCAATCATCAAGCAGCAGGTTGTGGTAGCAAAAACTTGGTCAGCCACTGGCTGAGAATCTTCAACGCGTGGAAATCCACAGAAATGTTCCGTACCTAGCAGAGCATGAGGAGCAAAAACAAAAAGTGTTGAACTGAGCCGAGAAAGGTGTATCTAGTTGCCTTGGTGCTGGGGAATGTGTGGCCCAGCTCGAGCCACACAAAGCAGACTGAGAACAGCTGGTTATTCTCATGCTGGAGTGGATACAATATAAAGTTGATCATCTAATGGCATTGAAGGATGTTCCATGTATGTCTATATCCATCTATTCCAAGCGATTTCCAAGCAACTAAATGAAATAGTGAAATTTTATCTCCTCCGGAATGGTTGCAGCTCCTTGTAATGCCATGCATACGTTGGCTCTTTAAGTCTTTAAGCAGCACCGCGGGCCTTTCAGACCCATTGTCTCCCAACTCTGAAAGTGTTAAGAATGGACGTCTCGCGTGATAGTACAGTACACGTTGCCTCCTGCTCAAGGTTCAGCACACCGCTGTGGTAATTCTCGATAAAATGCACCTTATCTGGGCACGTAGAGAGTGGCTCAGCATCGTCAAACCGGCTGTGTGAGCATCATCAGACTGCAGGGGCGCCGTGCAGGAAGAAACCAAGCGTTTGGGTGGGAAGGACACATCAAATCACACAATAATTATGTTGTTTTTTGAGACCTGGAGCTCCACAGTGATGGTAGAACTCAAGCAGGGGTGAATCTGACCGAAGGACTGAAGGGCAAAGCCTACCACAAAGTGAAACCCACTAAGGCAGGCACTGCTGTTCGGGGCACATCCAACCGTACGCAAACGTCCTCAATCTTCCTATCTAAAACCTGGCCACAGCTGAGTTGTAGCCAAGAGCTCAAAGCTCAAGTAGGATTAACATCATATTGTAATTATTATAAGCAATCGCGCCTGACGAAGCATCAGTTCGCGATCTGCCATGGAGGCTTTGCCACTGCTTTTCGCGATGCCCTCCTTCCGGCGCAAAATGTTTATCATCTTCGATGCACCTGGTTGAAATGCTCAGACTACTCTGCCGAACAAATTAAAAGGTGTCTGAAATGTTCAAAGACTGAGAGAAATCCACATGCACAGCAATGCAACATAACCAAACAGCAACACTCCGAGAATCTGTGGAGGTCCTCCACTCGGTCAATCCGAGTCAGAACTACCTGCAGCGAACCCCCTTGGAGTTAAGGCCTGCAAAAAGAAGCTATTAGCCTATTGTTTCTAATAGCTTCTTGTTACTACTAGTAAGGCACCTGTTACTACTAGCGTGGCACTTGTTACTAGTAGCTACCAGCCACGAATTCCAAAACTCAGTAGACGGCAAACCACCCACATCTGCCAGCGCGTCGCTCCCAGCTTCAAAACTGCCACGATCCCAGCAACGAACGGGTCGCAGTTCACTTTTTGTCCAATTCCATTTGTGACCTGTGTATGATCCACCTTGGTGAAGGTGAGGGCTCAACCAGGAGTCAAACTGCTACTCGGGTACAACTCTTGACTCTAGAGGTGTCGTCACCTAGAAGTGACTGCAACGCATAACAGATTCCATGGAATGAACACTACCAGGGTGTAGCAACCAGTCAGGGATCGCAACACTGGGTGCAACAAAGCTTTAGGAAGGCTTGTCATCCCGCGCAACACTGACAGGCAAGGTACGGTACTGGAATTTCTGGGTAGCATTTAGTACGAAGTACCTGTGGTGAGCTCAACATGGACGAGAAACACTACTGTTGTTACTCAGGAGTGATCCAAGAAATAGCAGCAAGTGCAGCAAAAGGATGCCGACATCATGCAGCTATTTGCCTGTCGGGACAACTCGATAATACTTGTGCCTGTGTATGCTTCGCTGCCTGCATCATACCACACTTTCATAGTCCGAGGCGTGAAATCAAGGCCGAGACAGTCTGGGCACAGTTCAACCTGCACATGCCAAAACTGCACCACCAAACAGCAAAGCCAAATCCACAATCTCATCTAATCTTACTTATTCTATAACATATTGATATCTGAAAAAAGCAAACACACATTCCTTTGACAATCTTGAACTGGTTGCTTTGCTCAGATTCCGTGAGCCTTTCCAATGCTCTGAGACAGCTCTGGGGAAGATGCACACCCTGCCAACAGGAAGTCATGACAAACTTGTTTCCCCTGCAAAACAAAGTCGTTGCTCCAAACATTCGCATGAACACTAATTCTTCACGTTCAGCAAAGTCTATAGTCAAGCCAAGAAATCATGTCATAAAGATTCGTTCTTTTGGAATCGATTCTCGGTCTTCCTGGCACTCGGCCATGAGCACATCATTCGCTCTTCGTTTCAATGTCACAAATCTTCTGTGCACGATCTGCTTGAATAGCAAAGCAACTCACAGCAAATCATGCCGAAAACGCTCACACCTGTGCGATAGCCGGTACCCGCTGTATACAAACATCTTCAGTCTTGACAACCAAGCCCTGACCTCATCTCGCAACCGCCTCGCCTGAAAACGATTCAGGACTTGCGTGTGTGAACCACTGCGATGAAAATAGTGTTAGGGCGGCAAGGTTTGTTGTAGTATATATAGATTCTGTGGACAATGCACGTGCTCAGTTGCAAATGCTCTATACACAACAGGAATCAAATGGATGCGTACCCGCATTATTTACTCTTCAAGTCTTCCACCAGTACAGTGCATTCCTGACGCATTCCTTGAAGCCTTTGATATGAATTCTAGTCCAGCCAAGAAGTTCATGGTCCTGCAAGAGTCGTCCATCCTTGCCTCTTCAAAGCATTGTGCAGCGTAGGTTGGAACCTCAACACTGCAAGTGCACCAATCCTTTTCGGGTGGTTGTTCTAGGCCGGTTGAGAATCAACATCAATGCAAGCCTGGATTAATGACTAAACCATGTTATTTGGTCAAGCATAAGTGCTTTACCGTGATCAGACACATGATGCGAGCTCCTGGGTCAGAGGTGTCCTATCTATATATATATATATATGGTGGTTGTCCAATATTCTTGTTTATTGAAACGGCCATTCTTCGCGAAAAAAACATTAACATTCGCGAAACTTTCGCGAACCCTGTGTTTTTCTTTCGCGGGGGTTCACCATGTCATGAAACCATTTAACCTGGTAGGGACTCGATTTCTAAATACAGTTTGTGGGGTTGCTATGGGCTACGGGGTTCCTCTGGAGCCGATTCATTCGCCGAAACCTTCGCCAGACTTTCGCGAAACTTTCGCGAAATAATCCCTGTGCTTTGGAGGTTTTTACGGCATACATAACATAGGGTGGACTACATGAAACAGGAAGGAAGCTTCACACGGATTCCAAAGTTGAAGCTGCTGACGGTCAGAAAAGGATGTGGTTATGCATGGGGCAAGCCTGAAGGCTCACCAAAGAACATACAATAAAAATTCATACTTTCGCGAATCTTTCGCGAAAAAAACATTAACATTCGCGAACTCGAAAAAAAACTTTCGCGAGACCCACGATCATGTCATCCAAGGCTCTCGACATTAAAAACCCTTACAAGGACCTGTTGGATAACTCCCATATAACTATATGTTCATTCAGCACTATGCACATGCTTTGGGGCGCACCTCTTCGGCAACAGCACTCTTCGCGTCAGGAGGACACCTCGGGACGACTGGTGGCTGGCAGTGTTGCGAGTTGAATTTGAAGTACGTTGTGTGGCTGTCAGGCCCTGTCAGGCTGCAAGTAAAGAAACAAAGACAACATTGTCGGTATAAGGAATAGTGTGCATGCATATACAATCATATACATACATACTCAATAATTTCAGACCGGCCAAGATGCTGCAAAAAACAACTTGGACGGATTCCCTCCTTTGATTCATGCCATTGTCCAATTCGTGGGGCATCCAAGACACGGCAACAGGATGATGTCCTTCCAAGGCTGTAGGTCAACCACCGCCACGACACGAAATGTCATGGGAAGCTGAGCAGTAGCTGTTTGGCTATTCCAGCTCCATGTAGGTAGGTGGTTGGTGACTTTTGCCGTCCAAGTGCTCTGAAAACATGACTAGTCTCTAGCAACTCTGCACGTGTTCATTTGGAATCATGACGGCAAAAACAATTCACCAAAAGCGAGGCTGCAGCAAAGACATCATGCAATCAACACGAAGAAACACGCATTGAGATATATAGATTCAACTAGTAGATTAAAATTATTAACGAGAAAATATCAAAGATCCTAAATCCATCTTTGCAAACCCTCATGAATTCTGCCACTTGCCTCTGGAAGATCTCGAAAACTCAGGACGAGTCTTCGGCTCAGGTATGCACCTAGGACAGGTCTTGAGGCGAAGTCGAGATGTGAATGGAAGACAATCTAAGGCACAAAAAAACACATATAGTCAAGTAACAAGCAAGATTGAAAAACAACAAAGTTCTGATCTGAACCACTCTTGTTGTTAGCTGACATTCACCTGTTTGGTGTCGCTACATATCACCCTGGGCACCAAGCGGCATAGTAGAACCAGCAAAATAGGAGGCGAAGCCACCTCAAGAGCCTCCCAACTTGTAAGGAGCACTGCGACAGCAACGAGTGGTACTGTACCTTTATTACCTCTATTCACCCATTGTGAGGTGTACTATGTAATGTGGGCCAATGAGAATATATTATAATGTTATAGTATTGTGCAGGGATGGGAGAAGAGGGGGTCTCAGCAATCCAGTGAATATCGGAGCCGAAAATGGTATCAAGACGTCACTTTAAGTTACTTCCAGATTCTTGTGGAAGTGTCCAGCACGCGTCTACACGCAACAAATGATCAGACTGCTGCGATTCCTCACTGGCTGTGGAATGAGCCCTCCACCCCAATAATGGTCCCATCGGTTCACCCCTAAGGAACTTTAGCGAATCAGGCTTTGATCAAGTCACAACAACCTCCAAAGAAAAGCCCACTAAATGTTTAAAATGATAGAAGGCAACAAATGACTGTGTTATCACCGCTCAGCTTCATCAACTTTTAGTATGCTTTTAGGCCAAAGGAAGGCACGCCATGTTTTTGCAAACCCAGCAAAGCCAGTTGTTGATGGTTCAAGCTGATCTAACATCTCGATTGGAGATGGCTGAGTTTGGATCGCTCTGAGTAGCCCTCAACTCAGGCCTCCATTAACTTAAACTAAGCAAATCATTTCCCGAGCCAGTCTGTTTTGAGGTGCCTGAAGTGTTCAGTTGAGTTGAAGTGGTCCTGCACCTTTCAATGAACCCTCTTCATCCATGATCTTAGGTTGCGGTTTTTAAGTCTGTGAGATCAAATGTCGCTATGATTTTGGCAAATGTACTGTGATGCCAGTACGAGTACTACAAATAATGACATGATAATACCTAGACGAGAACTCTCTGGTCAACGCTCGCCTTAATGTGCTGAACAATGCTGGCTACTTGGTGTCCTCAAGCGAGGCTTGCGAGGGATGTCAAAACTTCGAGGAGTTGTCATTTACTCACTCCTATTCACATTTCTCTACATTTGTCTGAACGCCATGAACAATTGGGAAACTTGGATCAAGCAATGGTGTTGCATGAAAGGACTGTGACTCCTACGATTGAGCCTTGCAGGTCACATGCTCTTTTGATTAATTACAATATGTTCTACGTAATTTTTTAAAAAAATACATAAGGCATAGAGCAAGCGTCTGTCCACCAAGCCATCTGTGTCCACATCCACACAAGACATGGGCACTGAGACCTTAAGGTCTTTCAGCCCGATTGGAGCCGCCTTCAACACCAACGCGCACACAAAAACGAGGGTCGTGGCACTCATGGTGTTAGGTAACAGGAGATGTGTCATGGTGCAAAGTAAAACCTGCTCCAACAGAGACGAGATGGGGCTCACGACCCCGAACGCACACAATCACTCGAAAGCAAACGGCCAACCATTGTTTGACACTCTTGCACGACACTCTTGTAGGAGATGCTCTTGTGGAACTGTGGCACAGTCTTGTGGGACACTCTTGTGGGAGACTGTTGTAGGACACTCTTGTAGGGGAAACTGTTGTAGGGAATTCTTGTGGAAAATCTTTGTGGGACGCTCTCGCGCAACACTCTTGTGGGACACAAACTTTTGCATCCCCCCAACAACTGCTGAGGGACCCTCGGTACCGCGATGTAGACCATGATAACTGGGGTCTAGAATGATATCCTTCAGCTGCGTACACTTAAATTGAAATCCCACACCCCAGACTCGGCACCAGAAAGAAGTGGTCTAAAATAGTGTTCCTACCCAGATACGTTGCAACATGAAACCAATTAAAAGTCATCCAAATTGGATGCACAAACTCGAAAACACAAATCGTTTCAATTTTGTGTTTCTTTTCAGCCGTCTAATGTTTTGTTCTCTCTCTCTCTTTCAAGAATAAAACACAAAAAAAACAATTTACAACCAATAAGGAAAGGGTTTCAAACCCGTTCACACATCCCAGGCCTTTGTGTTAATATTTTATTTTTTGGTTGTGCATTCTTGTTGGTTGGTTGCTGAGGTGGGGGCTGACATGTAGTACCCAGTACGCTGGGGTGGAATCTAAGATGTATTCCCACACATCAGACATCTCTACACGTTTGAAATACCAAAGAAATTGTCTCAGACCCGACTCCTAGTCCACCACAGCAAACGTACACAAAAATTTGGAAAACTAAGGAGCAAACGACATGGTGACCAGGGGTCTGGCCCTCTTCTATCTTGCGCATTCAAGAATTCAACCCACAAAAGCAGAATGGTGCGACCTTACTCAACTCCATCGTGAACGCCCCAGCCCTTTCTTATAGCTTAGTTCCCCGTGTCGAAAATAATCCCAGACCAACGTGCCGCACTCTTGTTGAGTGACACTTGGACTCTAGACCTTTGGCGACTGGGTACCTATAGCGCCACTCCGGACCCTCAGTACTTCGACACCCTGGAGGCACTCACTTCTGTGTGGGACTTGCGGGACACGCTTGTGGCACACTCAGTCACGTGCCAAGTCTCTGTCTCCAAAAAGAGCGTTTCGTACGAGACTTCCTCCAAAAGTCACGCGTCAAGTCTCCTCACGTGTCAAGTCTCCAAAACGAGCGTTTCGTACGAGACTTCCTGCAAGAGTCACGCGTCAAAGTCTGCCAGTCTCCCAAAATGAGCGTTTCGTACAAGACTTCGCTCATATGCGAAGCAGGAAGTCTCGTCAGAGTGCCCTTAAGCCTGGGTTTTATTACTTTTTTGATTATTTTCTTGCCCTGTATTTCAAGGTAGATTCTAAAGATATAACCTTTTCTGCGAGCGGTTTTTTTGAAACATATCAAAAAAAGGCGTGTTTCCAAATAGCCTTTTTTGTTTGTCAATTATGCTGCTTTGGGGTTCCAAACTCAATTGCGTATATTGTTTTCAGTGCCTACACTGATCAAGCCTGATGTGCGCCTACTATCCCGTGACGTTTCCTCTGTTCTACTTTGGAGCTGCCACAATGCTGCAACAAAGCACTTTTCACCTATCTGGCTCCAGCTCGCAAACGCAAAGCCACCCCCATTTTGGCGCGCGCGCACACACTTAGATGGTTGCTCGCAAGAGCTAGGATCAGTATGAAGTCCCACTCTAGATGATTACATTACCCGCTGCATTGTAGACCTTGACTTGCAAAACGGAAAGGTGAATGGGTCAGCCGCAACTGTATGGTTTAACATTGGGTGAAACGGAAAGAGTTAAATTGTAGGTACACAGATTGGCGTCCCAATCTGCTTCACGGAGTATCCACAGCTGTCTTCGTTGGCAGCAGAACTGTGGACTCCCTGCTGCCCCCTGCCTCCTTCAGTTTGGGTCCTAGAAGTAAGGCCAGAAGCTACTAGTAGCGCCCAGCCTTCTAGTGGAACCTATATGGCAGACTTTCCAGGTACAAACCTTAGAGACAGGTGTTAACACACACACACTGTGCCGCTATTGGCGCTCTGTATCCCTTACATGGAACGGATTTTGCGCAACAACTTTGCACACATAGCGGCAATATTCGCGCCGGAGGTTTGCTAGCCACCTAAAAAGCCTTAGAAAGACAGAAAAAGAAACAAAACAAGAGCAAACGAAAAGGGCAAGAAAGAAAGATAGGTGTAGTGACGAGGCCCACTTAGTTAAACGAAAGTAGTTAGCGAGCGGGGCTTTTGTCTTAAACTGCCCGGGTAGCTAGAAGTAGGACAGGAGAAACAGAAGGAAAGGCGCCAACACACAAGTGTGTTGAGTGCGACTTCCTTCTGTTACCCTAAATAGCGGGTGGGATAGCAACGGAGGCCGGGGGCAGGGAGGTAGGGGGGAGGGTGGGATAGGGTGGCCTGAAGGCCTTGCCTTCATTGGCATTCAAGTCAAGCCGATTTTGGCGGGCGCACCCTTGTCTGAAAGGTACCTGAAACCTAAGGAAAGGCCTCAAGAAACGAAAAGCAACAGAAAGAGAGAAAGAACCCAAGAGCATGAAAAGCACAAGCGCTGACATGTCTGAGTCCGAAGCCCCGCCTGTGATTACCTAGACGTGCAGACTGTACAGGTAAATACTTAGACACATGTCTGAAAGTGCAAATCCTGACTGGAGCGTAAGTCTCAGTGAGCCCTGCGGCATAGTATCAGTGGTATCGTGCAGAACAGTCAATCAAGGGAATTTCAGAGTGAAGCCCCAAAGCAGAGACGAAAGAATCTGAATTGATCCCCCCATGCGGCGCCCCTCGATGGGGATCACACCACAGACCTCAGTGGGACTCTCTGGCGAAACACACTTAGATGGTTGCTCGCAAGAGCTAGGATCAGTATGAAGTCCCACTCTAGATGATTACATTACCCGCTGCGTTGTAGACCTTGACTTGCAAAACGGAAAGGTGAATGGGTCAGCTGCAACTGTATGGTTTAACATTGGGTGAAACGGAAAGAATTAAATTGCAGGTACACAGATTGGCGTCCCAATCTGCTTCACGGAGTATCCACAGCTGTCTTCGTTGGCAGCAAACTGTGGACTCCCTGCTGCCCCCTGCCTCTTTTTTGACTCGCGCTGTGTTTGTTTTAGTTTGGGTCCTAGTAGTAAGGCCAGAAGCTACTAGTAGGAACCTACGGCAGACTTACCAGGTACAAACCTTAGAGACAGGTGTTAACACACGCACACACACACACCTGGAGGATGAAAATGACAACTTAACGTTTCCGGAACAGATAACACCTTCAGCGAACCAACTTTCAAGAACACAATTGCAAATCTATCACACCGTCACAGCGACATTCACCTCCACCAAACGTCGCAGTCTCACGATTCCCTGCACCTGCCACGAAAGCTCAACTTCGACACCTCCAACACGCACAAAGTACTGCGCCTGCAATGAAAAGTGACGACATGGTGACATCTTCATATCTTCAGCAAGATTTGCGCCACACCACACATCTGGAGTGATTTCGACAATCAGCACACTCACATTCACCAAAATCGCAGTTTTATCTGAGACTTCTCGCGAAAACACGGCTTCGACGCAACAGCCTCAACAGCAAATCACTGTCACAGCGACATCCAACACCTCCAATAGACCACCCTGCAAACGCCAATCCCACTGTCACAGCGAAGGAAACTGATGGGCTCACAAAACGCTGCACCTGCGCAGGAATTCACGCTTCACACTTCAGAAGTCACGTTTGCACGGTATTTCACACGAATTTCAACCTTCTCGATTCTCCATCCATTGAAAACTCGTCGAAAAGCTTCCCCCCGCTGTCAGGAAACCCGGCGACGACCCGATGACCCACACGACACGAACACAAGTCCAGCCCCCAAACCCCCAACTATAAACTATAAACCGGAACCCTTCGCTACACATTCGGAAAAAAAGGACAATCGAATCCAGTACTGTACATTACATGATCAAGCCACACAATAAGAAGGACGACGCTTTGCATTTTGAACTCAAGGTTCTTAAATGAACACAGTGGAATACTGCTAGACGGGCGAAGGTCTCAATATACGATGTGGATCAAACAAAGGGTTGTCAACCGTTCGACGAGCTTTCCTGGCAGTTCATTGGAGTTCAATTAGAGGCACTTGCTCACGTCTTCATGTCTACCTGCCATTGTCCAAAATTGTCAGCCTTTCTTAAAGGTGCCAAAAAAAATAAAGACCGCCTGAGGAGCAGCGACCACTAGGCATCGCGCTCCCACCAATTCAATTGCCTCTGGGTCTGCAAGTGCATGATGTTTTGTATATCTATGTATGTACATATACAGTATATATATACTGTATACATGTGTGCGACTGTCTAAACAAAATATTGCCAGTACTTCTCTCCAATGCTGCCAATGAAAGCACTCAATCTGAATCCGGAACAACAGGTTAAGTTGAAGTAATGCCTACCGTTTGAACTGCATGGCGCCAGAACAACATATTCAATCTATCAAACGCACTGGATTCTGGTAGGCAGTAGGCAGAACTGTTGACTCACTCTAGAACCTAATCATGTCCCCGACCTCGGTACAGCGCTGATTCACCTGAAAGTTTCCAAGCGATCTCCGACCAGCGGCTTAACTCCGCTGCGACTAAAGCACATGCTATGTTTCAACAGCGTAGTACAGCGTCCTTCGCACAGATTGCAAATCTTTTTCAAAACATCTTAGTGAGCTACGACATCCCAAGCCAGGACAACTGCAGGATGACCTAAGAGCTTCTGCACCTGGCAGGTTTTGGAATGCAATACACATGGGTCAAAAAAATGCAAATATGTGTATATATATTATATATGTTCATCCCCCTTACTACTCCCAGTGGTCTGCCATTTTGCATTTTACAGTAAAATTGTTTTATAAAGTGAAACCTG